TTTTTTTTTTTTTTTCAAATCTCGTACACCATTCCGGAGGATCAATGGAACTACGAGCTATCTTGTAGCAAGCCTTTTGGCACAGCAGCGCCCATCCGATCCATCTACCTGACTAATCGCGTGATTTTCCATATGCCGTTGAAACAAAGAAGCAGTCGTCGAACTATCTCATGAGCCGAGGATTCTCCTTGACTCGATGGCGCAAGATTGGCCAGACCCCTGAGTACGGCACAGGGCAAATTCTTCCGGGATACCACGAAGCCACACAAGCCAATAGCTAGACCAGAGTCATGCTGCCAAGGACAAACGTCGCGTTCGCATTTGCTCCTTCACATTCTCATTGGCCGTCCGTGCCGGAACAACATTGCCCCGAGTCGAGGCATGCTCGGTTAGAGTAGTTCATTTGACCATGAGCAGACCGTACAGAATACGGCCATGGCACGGTGTGGTTGCACAGTAATTGTAGCGCGTGGGCAGCGTTGCATACCGTTCTTTAAGTCCTTCAAGGCTGCTGTAATGCCTTGCTCGAATCTCATAGACATCTCTTTGTCTTTCTCTGTGAGGCCTTTCGCGAGGTTGTACATTACACGACAAGCATACATTTTGTCGTGCCGCGGCTTAATACATTGTTGAGTATCCATTGCCAGTTATCAAATAGCACATAATACCCCGAGACCGCCTGATCTACGCTGGGTCGTTCTGGGTACCCAGGCAAGATGCTGCCAACAGACACTTCTGTCAGCGCAACCACAACACTTCGCGACCAAGGATCGCATGCGCAAGGGAGCGTCGACGAGAACACAACAAAGCTGGAAGATACTCCACAGACCGCAACGACAGCCACCAACGACGGTACTCAAGCGCAGCCTAGTGAGCCGCGAAAGAGCACAGATACCGCGCCACGGGAGAACACAACTGTCGCCGAGACAGAAAAGGAAAAAGGTGGATTGGAGGTTACTGGAAAAGAAGATGGTGATGCCGAAGATGAAGTCGAAGACGAGTCCAAATACTTGACCGGCTTCAAGCTTGCCATTCTCTCCATCGGCCTATGCCTCACTACCTTTGTCATCGCACTCGACAACACAATCATCGCCACAGCCATCCCAAAAATCACCACCGTCTTCAACAGTCTCGAGGATGTTGGGTGGTACGGCTCTTCGTACCTCCTGACAACAACCTCGCTCCAACCGTCCTTTGGCAAAATCTACACCTACTTCGATGTCAAATACACGTATCTTGGTGCACTGGTTATCTTCGAAGTTGGCTCCATTATCTGCGCCGCCGCAACGAGCTCGCCCATGTTTATTATTGGAAGAGCAGTTGCGGGTGCTGGTGCAGCGGCACTGTACTCGGGTGGTATGACAATTATCGGTTTCTCGGTGCCCCTGAGGAAGAGAGCCATCTACATTGCGGCTTTGTCTTCCATGTTCGGTATTGCTAGTGTGGTTGGTCCCATCCTCGGAGGTGCCTTTACCGATCGTCTCTCTTGGAGGTGGTGCTTCTGGATCAATCTGCCATTTGGAGGTGTCTCGCTCGCCGTCGTATTCTTCTTCTTTTCCAACCCTGAACGGAAATACTCACACATTCCTGTCAAAGAACGACTCAAGAACATCGATATTGCTGGCGCCGTGTTCCTCATCTGTTCCATTGTTTGTCTGCTGCTGGCACTGCAATGGGGTGGCTTTACCTACGCTTGGAGCAACTCCAAAGTATGGGGTACCCTGCTCGGATTCGGTTTACTCATCAGCGTTTTCATCTTCTTGCAGATCAGACAGGGTGAACGTGCTACGCTGCCCGTGCGTGTCTTTACTCAGCGTACGGTACTAGTCAGTAGCTTGTACTCGACGTTGCTATCCATGGCTTTGTATACGTAAGTCTCTCTGATAACAACCCTCCCCCTCCCCTCCATCTAAAATCTAACACTTACTAACTCCAACCAGACACATCTTCTACCTGCCCTTCTACTTCCAAGCCATCAAAGGTACCACGGCCGAAGAATCCGGTATCCGCACCATTGCCTACCTCGTCAGCATCACCTGCTCCTCCATCGTCATTGGCGCCCTCATCACCGTCGTCGGCTGGTACGCCCCCTTCATGTGGTTCGGCAGCGCCGTCTTCGCCATCGGTGCAGGCCTGTTGTACACACTCAAAGTCAGGTCTCCCGCCGGCCAATGGATCGGGTACCAAATCCTCGCTGGTATCGGCGCCGGAGCAGGCGTCCAGATTCCGTTTGTCGCCGTGCAAGTCGTGTCAAGCGAGAAGGATATGCCGACTGCCAACGCATGCGTCATGTTCTTCAATTCGCTCGGTGGTGCGCTGTCCATTTCCATTGCGCAGAATATCTTTGTCAATACCCTGGCTCAAGAAATTCCAAAGTACGCGCCTGGACTTGATGGACGGATGGTTGCGCACGCCGGAGCTACAAATTTGAGGAACGTAGTGCCCAAGGAGTTGTTGGCAGGCGTGTTGCGTGGATACAACAACTCGATTGTTACGGCGTTTATTCTGGCCATTGCAACGAGTTGCATTGCTTTCTTCGTGAGCTTGGGCATGGAGCAAAAGAGCGTCAAGGGCAAGAAGATTATGGCTACAGGAGGAGCATAAATTTCTGTTTAACGTCTGTGATGGTTTTTGATTTTGTTAGATTAAATGATTCCTCACGTACACACTCTGGTTAGATTAAACATACTTAATCATGTAAATACTTCAATCCAACACACACACACACACACACACACACACACACACACAAATCCACCTTTTTTCAAGCCCTTCGCCTCCAACTCCAGTGCTTCCTCACCCCCCGAATCATCTCCTCCCAAATCCCCAAATTCCGCGCCCCCTTTCCATCCTTCATCAACACCGCCGCCCTCGCCATCTCCGCATACCGTACCGCCATCTCCGCATCCCCTACCGCACTATACGCCAGCGCTGCAAACCCATACGGCGTATCCATGAACCCCTCCAGCCCCTCCTCGCGATACAAAATCAGGAGTTCCTCGGCTACCTGGGGTGAACCCAGCGATGCATCGGACCAGTCATTGAGTTGGGCTTGGAGGTCGTTGATGATGGAGAGGGTGATGTCAGTTATGGGGGAGGAACAGCGAGGACAGGTGCACGTGAAGTGGAAGCCTTGGGCGAGGTGGTGTTGGCGGGTTTCTGTTGGTTCGAGGGGTGAGGTATCTAGCGCAGTGCATTAGCTCTGCATAAAACAAAAATATCGCGGAAGGTAGGAGGGAGTGAAGGGGGGGGGAGTATACATGATATGGTGATTTCCTCGCCTTCAGCAATGGGCCGAGTGACGCGGACTGTGTGGGATAAAAGGTCGGTGTCAATGACGTATTGTGCACTGTTTTCCTTCCATTAGCTCTCTGGTTTTCTTTGTTTTTTTCTCTGGCGGTAGGATAATACGAGTACGTACTTTGGTGCACAAGCGTGGTTCAAGCGACTAGTCTCCGGCCACACGGCGAGATGATTCACCCCATTTAGCATAACCTGGAATGTATTCGCTTTGACAATGTCCTGTACCTGGACTCTAGGGTCGCCGTATACGGTCGCGAGACCGAGAAACTTTTCTTTCAGGTCCGAGGGGAGTTGCTCGATTGCGGTGCGCCAGAGGGCTTCGCGGTCTAGTGTGGATAGTTCGGATTCCAAGTAGGCTAGGAATGCAGGGGTGTAGGCCGTGACCCGCTCTCCAAATTTCAGGGGCCGCGAGGCGAGCATTCCGATGCCTTTTCCAGGGATGGATGTGGCGTGGTAGCTATCTGTGGGCTTGTTGATGGACTGAGATACGAGGGCCGATGCATCACGAAAGGCTGGTAGCGATGCGAAGTCCTTGGCCAGACTTGGCGTAGTGAATATAGAGATGCCTCGGTTTTGAGCGAAAGATGTATCGGTATATACGCATAGCTTGTCGTTGATGCTTGGGAGAATAGAGGTGCAGACGGGCGCATGTGACCATGGCCCATAGTCTTCCTTTTTCGTGTCATCTGCCAAGGCCGAGGATCCTAGTGATTGAGAACACAACGCGTATTCTTTCAAGCTGTTGAGAGAGCTCTGGAGATCAATCGTGTATAGCGGACTTTTACTCCAGCAGTGCCATCCCCAGACCAGCTGTGGAGAACACGCTAAGAAAACAGCATTCTGTGCAGAAATGTAAGTGCGCATCTTGAGATGAGGGTATAAACCAGATTGCAAGTAAATATTTGAACGCTCAGAAGGGCCAAGTAGGCATGATGAGTGGAAATCGACGTGGACGTGTTATGTCAGAACTTGAGACATAAGATGTTTGACCCATATCGCTAAGTTTAGAGTGCCAAGTCTTGCGCTTACACATACTGTTTGTTAGCAGTACTTTGAGTGTGACCTTTTCGGGCAAAGAGAAAATGGGTATTTCAACTTATCCGAATAACCTAAACACCTAAAAATGCTACGGAGTGTTGCTCAGACTGCTGTACTTTTATTCCACCATTCAGTCGATGCAACCCTGACCTCTCAGAATTTGATGTGGCATAAAGAGAAAAGAATGCAAATGTCGTCTCGCAATGAACTTCACAAAAAGGAGATGTCTCATGCTGCATCGCCATTGGCCTCGCCCTCGGCACTGTGCTTCTTCTTTTTCTTCTTGTCCTTTCCCTCGCCTTCTTCCCGCTTGCGCTTCTTTTTCTTCTTGTCGCCATCCTCTTCTGGTGCCACATACTCGGCCATTCTCTCTTTCCTCTTGGCGTCCATCTTCTCCTTCATCTTCTCCTCCCTCTCTTCCTGAGCTTTCCTCTCCTTTGCATGCTTGCCCAAAAAGTATTCTCCGCTTTCGATCTGCAAGTCGACCTTGCTCTTCTCCTGAGGGGGTGGGAATGGCGTGTACGGCTTCTTCGACTTGTCGTTGACCTTATGAGGTATGCGACGCTTGCTGAGAGATCGTTTCTTGAAATTTGGCAGGAAGCGATCCCAGCTCTCGTTGGCGAGTTCAGGATCCTTGGCAAGCTCTTTCTTAATCATGAGCTCTTTGATAGCGTAGATGGGATGGATGTTGTGCATGGTGTCCTCGATGATACGCCGTACTTGCTTGAGTCCTTTGTACGGACCCATACAAGCTACTGTGTTTCCTTGTACAAGCAGATAGCACTCAGTGAGCAATTCCAGAGCCTTGAGCGTTGATCCGTTGGGTCCCAGAATACGCTGTCTCCTCTTGACAAAACGCTCCTTGTTGCCCACCAAGTTCCGAATCTTAATAATGTCCATAGCCACATCGTCTTCAAGGATTTTGATAGCTTGAGGCGCTGGCACACTTCGAGCAAGTAGCTTGATGAGATCGCGTGCATTCAGGATTGCGGCTGGATCGTACGTCTTTTGTGTGGTCCATACGGTCATGGAGCCCTCAACCAAATTGAGCTCGCATCCGATGCCCAGTCTCTGCAATGCTTGGGTGATGAACTTCCATGATCCTTTGAGATACTGCTCGCGATACTTGGGAAAGAGGGTGCTGAAGCGGGACTCGTCTGTGAATGCGCCGGCTTTGTTGTCTTCGGGCTTGAAGGGCTCAATCTGCGCAAAATTAGGATCTGGCGGGTGCGGATCAATTTTGTCGGCGCAAACATACCTTCCACTTGTCGATGTCGTCCGTATCCCAGGGTTTATCTACATTATGTGTGGATGGCATTGTGGGGGCCGTGTGGATTGTCGTTTGCGATGAACTATGAAGTGGTAACTTTTCGAAAAGTTGCGCGCGCGAAGATCAGTTCGCGCTAGATTCTGCCACCGCCTTTTAGCTTCAGCTCGGATCTTGTGAACTCTAAATCCGCCACATATCACGTGTCAACTGATCTTCACGCTATCCATCACCAGATTCTGGTCGGCAACCCAACGGCCCGCTATCAACTAGATTTTGACATGATCAGAAAAGGTTTAGTATGTCATGATAAACTGACCAGGATGCACGCATTGATGCACTAATCAATGAAGTGTAGCCGGCATGTCAACTAATCATTTGCTGGAGCATGTGTCAAGCCCCATTTCAGGGGATCAAGTAATCAAGAAGAGTAAAGTAATCAATTTGAGCGTATTAACGTTATGAGACTATGATACAAAGCCAGAACTAGAACTCTGGAAGCTTCCTGCGCCATAAAATCTAGAGCGCAGAAGCGTTGGCAGACTCGGCTTCAGCAGCAACGACCTTCTTCTGCTTCTTCACACTTCCATCAAGCGGTGTGTTCAAGCCAAGACGGTCACGGGTAGAATAGGTAGAGATGCCTCCCTGAGGATCAGCCTCGGTGATAAGCTCCTTGCGTCGGGTGTCGACAAGCAACCGGATGAGATCGGGTCGCATGTAGTGGCCTGAGAAGTCGGCAAGTGCTTTGGTCAAGTGGCACTCATTCAAATCAATCTTTTTTTGTTAGTAAAATACAGACAGATATGGTTAGGTTGGGGACATACGTCAACAAACAGGAGGCCATCAAAGTCTGGGTCAGGCTTAGACACAAGCGTGCCGTCAGGCTTGTAGATGCGGGCGTGGCCGTTGTAGGTGGTAGGATCAGTCTCAGGCTCGACACCTTCAGGGGTATTCTTCTTGAGTCCCTCTACACTCAGTCTCTGGAAGGGTGCAAGGGTCCAAGTGCCAGTCTCGATGGCGTAAGCGGGCGTAACCAGGTCAGAGGCAGGGTCCGAAACGTTAGTGGCCGGGTCAGGGTACTTGAGAGTTTCTTTACCAGGATACACCGGCCACGCTGCGATATGGATCTGCTCACCCTCAGAGACGTTGAGCGCCTTGAGGAAGGGGTTCATGTTCTCCCAGCAGTTCAGCTGACCGAGACGACCAAGTTCAGTCTGAGTGACCGACTTGAAAGTATCACCAGCACCATCACCGTAGACCAGTTTCTCAACATGGGTAGGCTTGATCTTTCGGCGGTGGTTGATGACCTCGCCTGTTGGGTCAATCAAAGTCTGAGTGAGGTACAGGGTGGCATGGTCAATCTCGGAGAAGCCAAGAGAGACGTAGCTGGGCGGTGTCAGAGATGCTTACAAGTGCAGGAAATCTTGGCTTACATTTGGTTGTCGCGGGCAGCGCGGCGAATACGTCTGAATTCCTCAGAGTCGATTGGGAGGGAGTTCTCGCGGTACTTCTTCAGCAGAGGAAGTGACTGCTGGTAGTTGACCTTCCACATCCAATAAGGGTAACCCGGAATCCAGACTTCTGGGAAAGCAACGAGCTTGCAACCAGCTTGGCCAGCCTTGTTGATGAAGTTGATGGTTTTCTGGACACCAGCTTCGAGGTCGAACCAGCATGGCTCAGAAGTGACCTAGGGTTCGAATTAGATTGACTTCGATATTATCCCAGAGTGTTCGAACAGGGCGAAACATACGGCAGCGGCCTTGTACTTGGTAAGAGGCATGATGATAGTTTTCGAATTTGAACGTAAGATAGTTGATATTGAATGAATAGATTGTGTTTGAATGTGTGACGGTCCAATCCAGCAGACGTGAGAGAGTTTATATAGCGTTTTTGCAAGTCAATGCATCTCCAATCTATACATCCAACATATTACCCTGCCATCAATTATTCTGCTCATGCCACTTCCCGGATCAGTCTCGACGCTCTTCCTTTGTCATTGCATGCATTCTGAAAGTCTTTCCCCGCTCTGTGTTACAGTAAGCTTCCCAAATCGTGTGACATCGGCAGCACATGGGATGAATCGAGCTCCGAAAGCCCCCGTAGTGATAAACTAGTATACCATAACAGTGGGTTGAGGATGAACTTTGACAGGCAAAATGCTCGGACGAGGCAGCCCACTGTCGTCGAAACACTCTCGGCCTGGTGCCGATGGGATGCCGATGGGATGCCGCGGCAACTCGCCCACAACGTTCGCAGTGCCGACCGCCACCTTTCCCCACCAGAGTCCCGTCGTCGCACTCACAAGCATTTTTCCCGGCCATGGCCGATCAAGATGAGGACATCTCGCACCTGCGCGCACCTGACGCGACAGATTATGATCCCACTGAGGAGGCCCAAGACTTTCGACTTCTTGAGAAATTGACGTGCGTCATCTCGCATGCGCAGCCTGTAGTTTTTTTCCATGCTTCTGAAATGCTAATGCTCGCGCGACAGAGCACAAGATAGCGCACACCCAACACTACCAAAGCGCGGCGAGAAGGACTTTGAAAGCCATGAGACAAACCTCCAGCTCGACACTCTCGAGGCCTCGCGCCGGGCCATGCATGGCGTCCTATCATGGCAGCGTACACACACGCAAAAGGGCCATGTCCTAGCCATGTATGACCCAGAGTGCAACATGGCTTGCGTAGACAAAGTGAAGTCACAGCACTTCCAAACCATAGGCACAAACAAAGGGGGAAAAGAGTGGCTATTGCCAGAAGAAGCGCTGTTCTTACTAGAAAGAGGAACCTTGGACTGTCGATGGCCGGTAAAACGCGAAATCGGCGACAAGACGGTATACAGGACTGAGGATGGCGCACCGATGAGTCTGCAATCCGCCTACGCAGCCTTTATAGGGTTTGAGGGTGGTATAGGAGGGAAACTTACACTAGAAATGTACAACGTCTACGCCGGTCTGAAAAGATCAGGCTATGTCATATTTCGAACCGGATCATGGGACCACGACCGAGGCGAAATCGTCGAAGCACCCCCAAAATCCGAGCAGGAAACAACTTCCAGCCCCAACCTCATAGCCCGCTTCTTCTCCGAAATCTGGCGCCGCCTAAGCCAACCAACTTACACCATTCCTACCTCCAACCTCGCCTTCGGCCCCCTCCTCAAACCCGGCCTCTTCAGGTCCTACACTGATATCTACCGCCTCCTAAAACTAATTCCGACCCATGATCGCACCGCACCACCTACTTTCCTCCTACCTTCCTCTGCAGAAAACCCCTACCGCATCCACTTCGACGTCTACCGCACAACCTCCAAGTTTCGCAAATCCGCCCGTGGACCCCCCGACTTCCGCATCTGTGTCGTTGACGCCCGCACCACACCCATCCCTACAGGCGCACAGCTCAACGATCTCATGGCGCAGGTGCCCGATGATCTGCCAAAGGAGTCAGACCAGCCGTATCAGAGGTTGAAGCATGGGCGTAGGAATGTGGTGCTTGCTGTGGTGGATAATGGGATTCCGAGTTATATTCGCGTGGCGGATAGTGCGTTTGATGATGTGAGAATTTATGAACGGGCGGGGCCGAGGGGCAAGGGGGGACGGGGACGGGGTGGAGGACGGGGGAGAGGAAGAGGTAGGGGGAGGGGACGGTGAAGTTTGGGAGTAAGAGTTTGTGATTTTTTGTGAGGATTCATGACGGGATCTGATGGCATAAAAATGCCAGATGTTCATGGATCTCCGAAGATTGAAAGATAGGATGGTTGCCTCGGTGAAAATGGTCATGGTGGATGTATACATGGCTAAAAGTTCAGCTATGCCCTTGGTTCTTGATACAATCCGTCTTGAACGAATATTCAGCTACGATCCTGCATCATCATGTGCGGTGTCATTCAAAGAGTTCTGACATGGCTACGTGACTACGTTCTTCATCTCAGTCTTCTCTAGCCCTCTTACTTTTACTTGTTACTAAACTTAACAAATACGCTTCAAGTTCTTGCATGACCCATAGCCTGAAATATCCGGCGTAGAAGAAATAGCATCCATTGCCTTTGCCGTCGGGCAACCATGTAGTTAGGAGTCGTTGCCAAGAACTAGATCTGGGGTCGGTGAAATGCGAACGGACCCGACGGAAAAGACCCCGTGAGAGTCAATCTCAAGACGCAAGTGGCTAGTTTCCAAAGATGGAAGTGTAAAATTGGTCATGGATAAGCGACTTGATTCGCGGTACTATCTCGTATCTATTCTACGGCGGCGGTATAGTTGCCGTTTCGCGTGTGAGGATCATCCTGAGCCAAACCATGTTGAGGTTTCGGGTGTTAAGTCTTATTTTTGGCTTGGACTAAGTACTTCTCTACTAGTTTTACAGACATGTTCGAGGAGCATACCGCTTAGGCTTGCGCCAATGGGCACAGACTAACAGAAGGGGACCAAAGGATTTAGGCATAATAATATTCTTATGCAATGCGTTGCGCAAATCCTCGTCATGTAAATCGCTGGCAGTTACTAAGAGCCGCGAGGGAGACTGGGCAAAACACCAGTGCTGTGAGAATTTGATTAGCTCGGTGCAATGGTTCGCTCAGAGAGGCAATGGCAGGTTGAATATGCCAAAATTCCGGATGTTTAGCAGCCATCTATGCCTTTACATTGGCTGGCTGCTTGAAGTATTTGCTTGGTACGAATGGCATCTTTGTGACGACGGCCTTTCGTTTCTTACCACGAACCACAACATCGACTTCAGTGCCCGCCTTGTGCATACCATCTTGAATGTAACCCATGGCGATGTTTTTCTTGAGGGTGGGTGAAGGGCAGCCAGAAGTGATGTTGCCAATCTTCTCACCAGCCTCATTGACAATCTCAGCGCCTTCTCGGGCGGGGGATCCCTCAACGATGAGACCTACTCGGCGGCGTGAAACACCTCCGCCTTCCGACTTTTTCTTAAGTTGTTGCAGAATAACAGAGTCGCCGAGGAAGCCACCCTTTGCGCGGCGGTCTTTGCCAATGATCCAGGAAAGGCCGGCCTCGACAGGTGTTGTGGTGTCGTCTAGGTCATGACCGTAGAGACACATACCGGCTTCCAGTCTGAGGGTGTCGCGCGCTCCGAGACCTGCAAATCGTAGTTCATCTTTGGCCGAGTCGAGCAAATATTGAGTGATGGCTTCGGTGGAATAGGCAGGAATGCTGATCTCAAACCCGTCTTCGCCAGTATAGCCACCACGGCTGACAAGCACCTCGGCGTCTGTGCCCTTGATGGTCGCATTGGCACACTGGCCAAAGTAGAGCGATTCAAGATCCTTCTTTGACTTATCGTCAAGTACGCGGGAGAGTATCTCGGAGGAGAGGGGCCCCTGGAGGGCCACAAGGCCCTGTCCATCTAGGATCTGCCATTCGACTGGTTGGTCAGAATGCTTGCTGTTCCATGCATCCAGTTGCGCCTTGAAGTATGCAGTGTCCTTTTCTCTGCAGCCTGCATTTGTCACAACATAAAACCTGTCGGCGAGGCGCGTGATGACAGTGTCGTCAACAATGCCACCATTTGAGTTAAGCAGGGTTGAGAGAGTAGACTGATGCCTGGCCAGGGTAGAAAGGGCAGAGGGAGTGATGCCCTCGAGGAAGGCCTCGGCACCGGGGCCAGAAAAGTGGTGCTGGACCCTGAACATGGTTAGCTTCCAGGGTTGTCTTTCACCACCATCCTAGCTGTGTATGGCATCTTACATGTGGCCGACATCAAACAAACTGGCTTTTTCGCGCGTCCAATTATGCGAGTCGATGATGCTCAAGTCGCTGTATTGGACGGGCATCAAGTATCCGCCAAAGGGCACAAACTTGGCGCCATACTTGCTATGTAACTCGTATAAGCCAGTCTTACCCAGCTGTTCGCCTGCTGCCTGTGAAGAAGCCCATCGCGCATGCTGTCGCACTGGTCCCGTGAAGTTGCGGGGTCGCGGGGCTGGCAATGTGGATGTTCTGGTTGAATACCGGGCGGCTTTTGGGCATTGAAGTCTTCCAAACTGTGGCGCAAAGGCATTGGCTACTGGGCGCAACGCAGCGACTGCTTTTCTGGCGGCCATTGTGTGTGGGTGAGGAGGAAATGCTGTTGCTGGCTGTCCGACGGGTATCGGCGGCGGATGGAAGTTATGTAGTCAGAGCGCCAATGACGCCGGCGGGCGGATAGCTGGGCCGCCCAGCGATCCAAGCTCCGAAGCTGGATTGCATCCACGAATGCAGACATCGTTCCCATAGCTGCCTATATCGCGACCCGATCGCCCCGAGACGACTGCAGCAACCATGTCCAAGGGCAGCAAGTACCTACTGGTGTCGCTGCCGACGTCTATCTCCCCCTCGAATCACCACGATGACGCCCTGACGGCCTTGCGCTCCACCGTGACCAATGACGTTGGCAACACTTCCCCGTTTGCCATACCCAACTTTAAGATCGGAACCCTGGATGCCCTCGTTCAGCAGGCCGATGAACTCTCGAAGCTTAGTAATGCTTGTGAGGGTGTGGTCGCAAAGGTCGGTGAGAGTCTGCGCCAGATTCTCGACGGCGACGAGTCCAAGGTGCAGCAACAGAAGACGATAAATGACAGTACGTGGGGGGACCGGCCGAGTGAATGGTACCCAAGAGCTCACATAGTGCAGAGCCCGTCGACCAATACCTGCGCAGCTTCCAGTGGAACAAGGTCAAGTACCGCGCAGACAAGCCCATCGCAGATCTCATAGATGCACTACAAAAGGTAGGCACCGGCGCATAGTCATGGCACCACCCAGCAGACTAACCCTGCGCGCAGGAGATACAAGGTATTGACAATGATGTCAAGTCCAAGTTCAGCCAGTACAACCAGACAAAGGGCGCCCTTGCAGCCGCAGAGCGAAAGCGCACCGGCAACCTGTCGACCAAGTCCCTCGTTAATGTCGTCAACCCCAAGTCCATTGTCCGCGACTCTGAATACCTCGACACACACCTCATTGCTGTTCCTAACACGGCTGTAAAAGACTTCTACCAGGCATACGAAGAGCTGAGCCCCATGGTTGTCCCCCGCTCCGCCAACAAGATTGCACAGGACGACGAGTTTACCCTGTTCGCCGTCACAACATTCAAAAAGCACTCCAACGAGTTTGTCCACAAGTGCAGAGAAAAGCGGTGGACCCCGAGAGAATACACGTACAAGGAAGGGGGAAAGGAAGAGGAGGCAAAGGAGGCCGACCAACTGGCCAAGGACGAGCGCAAGCTCTGGGGTGAGGCACTGCGGCTAGGTCGCACAGGGTACAGCGAGAGTGCCATGATCTGGATTCATGTCTTGGCACTCAGAGTGTTTGTAGAAACCGTGCTTAGGTACGGCCTACCGCTGGATTTTGTATGCGGCATTGTTCAGGTGAGTTCATTTACATTAGCCGTACTATTGCATGTATACTAACACGACCTAGACCGATGCCAAATCGGCGAAAAAGGCAAAGGTAAACCTTGATGCAGCCTACTCATACCTTGGTGGTAACGCTTTCGGCCGTGATAGCAAAGGTCGCATCAAGAAGGACGACCAGTCCATGTCCATTGACATGCAACAAGCTGGCCACATGGGCGACCAGGAGTATACTGCATACGTCTATTACGAGTTCGAGGTTGTATAGTACATCATCGGATTAATCACGATCGAGAACAATATTTTACGAGCTGAAAGCGATTCATTATGCGACACCCCCAGCTAATTCGTTGCGCTGTCCTTGGCCAGCAGTAGCTCTAGTACAATCTCGCTTATCTGAGCTATGTTTAGGCAACCGTTGTGTACCCCGCTACGCAAACACCGTCAATAAAAGGTTAAGCTAGCAATCAAAGTAACATGCACTAGTCCACAGAGCTCTTTGTCACCTTATCTTGTTCTATCTCTCCATATCTACATTCAATGATCTCGGTAACAGACGAACAGTCTTTGACTAATAACCCTCTGTTGGCACCACGACTACACAATGACACACTCTCTGACCAAACAACCAGTAAACCCGCATCGCCCAAGATCGTGTCCCGGCTGAAGAATGATCTCTACATCGCCACCAAAGATGGCCCGGATAGGTTGCTCGTACCCCAAATGGAGTACACACCACTTCGTCTGGATCCGCGCGAGGCTCGTTTGTTGCTCTTGCACCCAGCAGATGAAGCAACTGAGCATGTTTGCTGCACCCTTGAAACGTACCCCCTCACAGATCTTCCTCAGTTTTTTGCAATCGAGAATGCAAGAGGACACCGAGAGTATAGACAGCCTATAGAAGTAGATGGGGCGGCCTTGTTTCTCTCGTTTGCCTTGGAGAGATTTCTGCGCTACTTTCGTACAACGGTTGACAGACCAACACATATTTGGGTACGATATGCCTGTGTAGTGGAATCAGACCAACAAGAGCAGAAAGCATATTGAACGCGCGATTTTAGCAATTCATGTATACACAGGCTTGTGAAGTATTTGATATGCACGAGACTAACAACCGTCTTGTGGAGAGTGGCTACTTTAGTCGCGTCGTTTCTCGAAGTCGTTTTGAGCAACACAAGAAATGGTATGGTTTTCCAGACCAGCTAGTCGTACCTAGGGTGTTTTCCATCCGTCTGGGTACCAACGCCAGTTTCGACGAACCGACCATAGACTTCCAATACATGCCACTAGATATGGTGGCTGATGAGATCAGAATCATGTGTATCATGCCTGCCCAGGATGCTCATGCGCCCATAGTCATTCATGTGGCACATTGTCCGATTAACACTGACGAACACTATATTGCTCTCTCCTGTAAGTTCTTGGATATAAATGGAAGGGAAACAAACCTACATAACTAACTCTGGTTTGAAGACTGTTGGGGTGTGGATGATACTCAAGAACAAATTGTAATGGCAGGGCAAAAGATGACAGTCCGCAGGAACCTTGCTGAAGCTATTCGTGTCATAAGAAACCCTCGCGTCGTCGTACCAGTGTGGATAGATGCTCTATCAATCAACCAAAAAGACTCAATTGAGCGTGCTCGGCAGGTGCCGCGCATGGGGGAGATATATGACTGTGCTATCGCAGTCTTCTCATATATCGGAAGTCCCACCGAAGAGAGTGATTCAGTTTTCTCTTTTACAAAAGAACTCTTCAAGCACCCAATCGTCCGCATCAATGAGTCCAACGAGTTTCATTTCCCATCGGAAGACTTCCTACGTGGCCAAAGCGACGACAACGAGAATACCATCCGGCCTGATCAACTCGCAAAGCTATGTGCTGGTTTATATAAGCTTTTGACTAGGCAATACTTCCGGCGGATATGGATGTCACAGGTGATTTCTGAACCTTAAAAATTATGTTGATCAACTAAGAATTTGCCAGGAAATTGCTTATGCTTCGAATCCAACGGTATTATGCATCCCCGGTCAAAAAGATAGCTGGGATTATCTTGAATCTGCTGCGCATAAGCTTCAGGACATGTTGAGCCGCGATAAGAGACTTTCCAAGCGAATGCACGAAGCCGATCCAGCTCTAAAGGATTCTGACATGAATATGTTGTCTTATGCACGCAAGCTCTTCTATTTTCGACATTTGGCGAATGGTGGCATCGGACTAGGCTCCGTCTTCGTCCAAACGAGCGAAGATGCGCCAGGTTTTCTAGAAGCAGTCGTAATGGCTCGCGATTTCGAGAGTACCGATCCCAGAGATAAGATCTTCGCATTATGGAATCTCGCTCAAGATAAGACCGGCCTAGACTTCAAGCCTCATTACACAGAGCCGTATGAACGCATCTACGCTGATTTTGCTCGAGCCTGGATAAACCAGAAGCATTCGCTAGATATATTGGGAGCAGTGGAAGCGTCAGAAAGTAGCTGTTCCTTTTACAGAAAAACGCCATCTTGGGCGCCGGATTGGAGTGTACCTACTCAAGCCAGCTGTCTTGTACGCAAGGACTACATTCCAATGAAATTTATCTCGATAGTAGACGACCAGCAAGGAAGGTTGTACGTCGCAGATGGTGACACCACACACGACACATTCGAAGAACCCTTCCTCCGTTTCCAGGACAACTTGCTACATTGCACTGGACTCATCATAGATCAAGTTGGGACCATCTTACAAGAACCTCCACAGCTATCAGGTGAAACAGAACATTTCCAATACGCTGGCTCTGAACGGAAATTCTACTGCTGGACTATCGAACTTACCCAGCATTTCCGAAACTTCGGTTCAAGCATCTACGACGATCCCCTACGAGCAGCTTGGGCAATGTGCCATGGCGATAACACTGCTGCATGGCCACCTAACCCTGGCTTCACGCCCCCTCTCGGCTATCCATACACATGCCAGACAAAGCTCTCAAAACACATTTCCTCATGGGCGCATGGATACCGCAAATCTGAAGCCCGGAACGTAGTCAGACAAGTCTTGCGCGGTCGGCGACCATTCATATCAAACACCGGATATATGGGCTTGATACCTACATACATTGCTGATCAATGGTCGGAAATAGGAGGACAGTGCCATCTCGCTGTTATAGCCGGATGCTCTGTTCCACTCATTCTACAGGAAAAAGACGATGAGACGTATACGGTTCTTGGGACGTGCTTTGTGCAGGGGTGGATGGAGGGCGAGTGGATAGAGACGATGATGGGGGCGGAGTCGCCGGCGGAGTTTTGGACGGGTATGAGGGGTGTAGCGATGCTGAGAATAGTGTGAGATTTGGGAGTGCAGAGGATAGATCTTGTTTGGATTTTAGCATTCGGCAGTTGCTAACCCATCTGATGGCATTAGACCATGTGCTCTTCCTGAGGTGCGGGTTGGGCCGGAGATGCCGCCAGAGTTACTAAGCTAGGTGGCTGAGAGTAGGTAACGTTTATCGCTAGCTAGTCTATTCTTCTATTCCTTATCTTTACTAGTAAGTATTACCTATCTACCTAGTATAAGGAGGTAGAAATCCTACGCGACTAGGCGATTGCAGTTAGTGATAATAGCTAGACGACTAATAAGCTAGAAGTTAAGTAGCTAAAGTACTTTATTAAGTATATATAGTAAGGTTATTAGAGTACGCTAGCTTAGACTGGCAAATGGGTAGAGGTTGGGTTGTGGTTGGGTTGCCAAGAGTTTGGGTTGAGGTT